ACTAAAAGATATGCTAAGATGTTGTGGGCTAGAAATGAAAGAATCATGGGAAGATTAACTGCCTTTAGCTAAGTTTGCATACAACAATAGCTACCAAGCTAATAATAAGATGGCGTTATATGAACTTCTATAGGTAAGGAAGTGGAAGTCCTCTACTCATCTGGATATTGATGAAAGAGAACTCAGAACCAAAATTAGTGCAACAAACAAATGATAAAATTCAATTAGTGAGAGAATGCCTTTGCACTACACAAAGCCATCGAAGAGCTATGCAAATCGAAGGAGAGAATTGGAGTTTTAGGAAGGCAATAATGTTTTCTTAAGAGTTTTTCCTACTCTTGGAGAGAAAAGATTCGAAATACGAGGAAAATTGAGTTAAAGGTTCATTTGTCCTTTTGAGATTTTGGAGCGAAGTGGTCAAGTAGCGTACAAGTTAGCTCCACCGCTGTCTCTAGCTGAAGTGCATGATGTGTTTCATGTGTCAATGCTTCCAAAGTGCATTCGACCCCAACAAGATTATTGAATCTCTCAAATAGAGCTTAAGCTAAATATGAGTTATGAAGAAAAATCAGAGCATATCATGGATTTCAAAGAACAAGTGTTTAGGCGGCGAACAATCAAATATGTAAAAGTTCAATAGAAGAATCACTCCTAGAGAGTAGCTACTCAGGAAATGGAGGATTCTATGAGAGAAGTATCCATAGCTCTTTGAAGATTAAGATATAGTAAGTTTCGAGGATGAAACTTTTTATTAGGAGGGAAGCGTGGTAGTCCCTAAGCAATCAACTAATGGATATGAGGTGACGACTCAAATTGCTAAATGAGCTACTAAGAAATAAAGTGGCAAGATCCAGACTTTTCGATGTGATAAGTAAGGTGAGTCTCACCACATGGCTATCTCTTGGTAGCTTATTTCGCCAAAATGAGCCGTTATCTCATATCCATTATTTCCTACATATATAGGAAAAGAAAGTTATTTAAATAGAATAATGTTAGGGGGAGCCTTGGCAAACCCCACAAACCTCAATTGCTTGCTGTCAAGCTCACATTCAAAGCTGGGTTAGATGAGGTTTTTATCATAAGTAAAGAGAGGAAGCAAGAGGTCATGTTACCTTCTAGACTCTCTCTTAAGAATAGTCATCATGGCTCCAATTCCTATCCTCTGCTCATATCTCTCCCAAATTGATGATTGAACAGTAGGTGAGGTTAAGAGAAAGAAAAAGAAATAGAGATAAGAGAATAAGAAGAAAAGGGAGGAAGAGACATATCAAGCCTTCTAAATCATTCCACCGATTAAGGTATAATCTAATCTTAATGAATTGCATAATGAATTTTGTGGAGTGACAAATCTTTAAAATCAAATGGATTTGTATTACAATCTTGAATTGTGATTTTGGTTTAAGAGAAGGGTCTGTGAACAAAAAAAAAAAAAAAAAATAGAGAGTAGCTCCCGTGAGGACTTTGGCGCCGACCACCTCCGGTAGTCTGTGGGTCCCCTCCATCTTCATGTCCACAGCAAAAAGGGGGTTGGAGGCTTGGTCTATGTTGCTATGAAAAATAAAATAAAGGGATCAAAATAGTCAAAGGAAGAAGGATAGAGAAGGGAGAATAGAGAAAACTAAGTTAAAATAACAAAACTTCTTTGGACCCGTGAAAGTTCATGAACTTGTATATAGGTCCAAAGAATAAAGGAAATGAAAATTTTAGTTTAGACCCCCAAAACAATATCTTGTTTTTAAGCCCAATCTGAGTGAAAATGGATGTAAATTTTGAATTGGAAGATTTATTTTAACCTCCTAAAGTTCACACTTATTATGAACAAATGCAGACTTTGTTGAAAAAGTATTATAAGTGAAGAAGAAAATTTGATTTAGACCCCTATTGCCCCCATTATTTGCAACCAGGGCCAATAGAGTCAAGCCTAGTTAGAAATAGGCTTGGATAATTGATTGAAACCCCTTGAAATTGACTGACATTGTTAACAGGTTCAAAATTATTAGAATAGTGTTATAAAAATTATGATGAATTGCTAAACTTAGCAATAAGCTTGTGTGAAATCTTTTATGGGTCTTAATTACTATTTGATTTATTTTATTCTATTTGGACCTAGATTATGGAGTGATTAGTATGAGTTTACATTAGTTAAATCTTGACCCTAAGTCATATATAATATAGGACCTTGTGTATATCGAGAGGGATCAAATTCAAGGGAATCAAAACAATTTAGAGCTGAGTTCATTGCTCACTAGTATTTTTATAATATAAATCACATAAATATTATATTTGATTGATCTTGTGCTGAAGAGATAATTATTTTATTATTTTTATGTATACAAATGACATATGATTTGATCTATGCTCTAGTAACCTATCCCAATTATATGATTTTGATGTCGTATGAGATATTAAAAGTAAATTTGATTTCATATAAAATATGCTAAATGATTTTGGTTCTAATGTCATCTTAAATAAAGATGAATATTGCTTTATTCGAAAGTTATTGAAGAAAGTGGTTTGAGTGTGTTTCAACGGTTTAACGGATTCAAGAATTTTTTCATAACTTGGCATTTAAAATAAATAAATTAGTGAGTTTTGTAAACCGTTTTAACTGAGATGATGAGTTTTACACTCCTCCACTTGATTCGAGAATGTACGATTTTGATAAGTAATCTGTGTTTTATTTGACAAGTGATTCTCGATGGTTTCAAAACTTTCAGAAAGTCCGCTCTGGAGTATTGTCTGTGCCTGCGGTACAGTGGATGCACCATTATCTAGCCCTTTTGTGTATTTCTGAATTTGTTCTAGCTCTTATGAGCATTTCTGATCTGACCAGCAGCCTATGACAGTGTTAGGTTGTATTCTATTTTAAAAAATTATCTATTCTGTGATGTGTTTTTATACAATCCCATGCTATTGGGCTATACTTCATAGCCTTAGTGTGACTAGTGAGATGATCCTTGCAATCATGTGAATAACTCATCAAGACTTGTGATTCTGACATTTGATTGTGAATTTAAGAAAACAATACTCTTTTCGTTTTGCATAAGTTTTTATAGTCGTTTTCTTTCTCAATATTTATCTTAATTGCAAAAATTCTGACTGAGGAATCTATGACAGTGTATCCAGTTTGCATATAAGAAAGTATATTAAAATTTTGCATTCTTTCTTGAAAATATTAATAATGTGTTCTTTTATATAATATTTTGTCATCCCATAATTTCGGGTTCAAAACTTATAAATTCACTAATTCTGAGAATTATTATTTTGTTAGATATCTAGAACTCTAGTCGGAAATCTTCTCATAAGCTTCAGCTTACTTCGTCCTTTACAAAATTCTTTTAGATCTAGTGTAGCTTTGCACATAGACTGAACTTTTGGTTGTGGTGTGTTGCAAGGAGGCGTTATATAGGAAAGCCTCTCTTTTGTGTTACGTAGAGCAATGTATTGTGGTTCTATAAAATGCTTGTAACAGTGAGCTTTCGGGTTGTACGTACGTACGTACGTACGTACATACATATAGTTTGTTCTGAACTTCTATCATCAGTAGGCTCATATATTTTGAGAAAAATATATATGATATGAAGTGCTAGGCTTGACATGTGTATGAGACTTATCTTGTGCACAGGCCGCTGTTGTTATGTACCATATCTATCGTCCGCTTCGATTTCGGGGCGTGACATCATTCCATGTAGAAAACTTGTGAGAAATGTATTTAAGATTGCAACAAGCAAGAATACATATTTATCCAAATATTATTAATCCAAACCGTTCAACTATCTATACGTCATCAAACCAAATGGATTAAAAATCACAGGGTTTAGATTTTTATATTATATAAGTCAAGCAACTCAAAAAGAACTTTGTTATCGACCATTTCTACGAGATGAGATGCATATGCTGGAAATATCAAAACTACGTGATTTTTTATCTTCATGAAGTTTAGAATGTATAAATCATAACGGTTTGAATAATTAATGATGGCAGAACATGCATTTCAACAAGAGCCACAATGAACGATTTGAATTATTCTTGATTTGTTAAATGTTTAGCTTGATCTTCTCTCAAGGTTATCGATAATGGATAGCATCGCGTAGCGGTAAGGCATCGCTAAGGCTATTTGGAGTTATTGCAGCAAAATAACGATAAAAAGCGTAAATTCAAATAGCGGTCTAATTTAGATATGTATGCATATTCAAAAAAATAAGAAATATTAAAGAAAAATCTAAAAAATCTAAAAAGTGCATATTTGATGATTTAAAGAGATTCTAACATAAAATAAACATGTAATCATCACATAACACCAAAGACGACTGAAGGACGAATCAAAGAGTCATCGTCTTCGAGAATATGAGCAGAGAGGTGAGAGGATTGCAGTAGGAGAAACTCATGGCGAGAGGAGGTGAGAGGAAGTGTTGAGAGAGGTGTCTGAGGCTGTGGGAGGCTGCGGGAATACGTCAGAAATTGCGAGAGGCGGTGAGATGCAGTGGTTGCGGGGTATGTTTAATTTAAAAAAAAATAAACCTTAAACTGCTTTTAAATAGTAGTCAAAAAGGTGGATTTTGCCCACAATCGTCCGCTATTTGCCGCTATGGTGCGTTATTGGCCACTTTTGCGAGCGAAAAACACATATTCTGTAATATGTCACCGCTATTGCGTGATAGCATAACGGGAAGGGACCGCTAACACTATTAGCGCTGCTATTGCAGCGCTATTTACCGTTATTTATAACAGTGGCTTCTCTATAAAATTGCTTTATTTTAATTTTTCCTTCCAAGTTTATAGCTATGAAGCAACAGAAGAAATATTCGTTATATACTTTTCTTTTCTTCCATTGTTTCTATACAAGTTCCTTTTTTATATTCTCCCTTGCTTTGTTCTTTCACACTGTCTTGAATTAGAGTAGCATTGAAGACTAAAGTTAATTTTGGCATAAACAAGCAAATAGAATACTAGTGAAATTTGAAATTTTATTCTACAGAAATTGAAATTTGAGTAAAAACCTGTAATATAAGATGGCTCTGGAAAGCATGCTAATGGCAATCGATCTAGTTCAGTAGCAATACGTTCAGTATGAATCCTAAATGAGAAAGATAACAAGAAACGAGGTTACTAGATTCTCCAAAGAGTA